ACATGTAGATAATGTGTTTGATAAAATTACAATGAGAAGAAGTTATATTGTGGTGATGTACTTATTTTGACTTGGAGTTTGTTTTATAATATAATATTAATAATATTATTGGGGCTTAGGTGTATGGATTTATTAATTATAAGTTATAATTTCATTAGTATCAATAATATTATTGGGACTTAGGTGTATAAATTTATTAATTATAAGTTATTATTTCATTAGTGAAATTGTAAAAATAAATAAAAATAATATATTTATAAAAATAATATATTTATTTTTTATTATTATAAAGATAAATATAATTTATTTATTTTATATATACAATATGGATGTCAAATCGAAGATCATGAAAAGATTATTAATTGGATATATTATATATGTAAACCGACAAAAGTTATCAACTTTTAAAATAGATTTATAATTCAATAGCTAATTGAATGAAACAAATCAAAAGTTAGGGATATATTAGTCACCTAGTGTCTCACTATGTAAAATTACAAAATAATTAAAGGGTTATATTAGTACAAGTGATATTAAAATACCTAAGTTAGCTAAATAATATTTATGAAATGTCCTAACTTATATTATTAATTATTAATATATCAATATTATTTGTCCAAACCTAATTACGAAGCATGATTTTTAGCCAAGTAGGATATCGAAACACCAGAAGCAGCCACGTAGGCTCAGCGCATTTAGGAATTATATATAGGGGAGGGGATGTTATTTTTTCATCTTATATTAATCAACACTGTAAAAAAATATATAAGTTTATTTTTTTTCAATCATTTTTAATATATTTTATTCATGCTTTTTATTATCTACTTTTTCACTACACAAACAAAATAGTAGTAATATTACATCAATTTAATTTAATTTTAAAATAATTTAATCACCATGATTATTTGCCCTCATGAATTGTTTAAATGAATGATTTAAATATCAGCAATTATATCGGGCAATTGTTTAAAGGGATAATTTAATCACCATGATCATTTGCCCTCAACCGATTTGGATTCTTATTGTATGGAAATTGATAAACATCAATTAAGTTTATCATCATATCATTTTATAACTGGAATATTTTTTTATAAAATAAAAACCGCAATGAAAGTGAATACATAGAATCAGGAATTCGAGACCGACTTTATATAGAATCGGACCAACTTATAGAAAACCGAGCAGAACAACTAAAAACTAGCACTTAAAGAGCTTGGAAAAGAGTAAAGAAGTGAGGAACATTGTGTGAAAGGTGTGAAAAAATATGATTTGAGGGGGGTACTTATAAAAAAAGTTGGATTTTTTTATTTAAATTATAGGACCCGTCAGGTCTGGGTCGGTCACATATTGACACAATTAATGTATAGAGTGATCTACTTAGACTTAGTCCAACGCTTATTCTCCTTATGGGGTAGGTACAGGCTTATGTTGGGTTGATCACGATATACATGGAATCAATAGTTGAACCAAGATATGACTCATTCCTTGAACATCGGGAGAACACTCATCTTCTCTATACTAGGTTAATAAAGTCATTTGTCAATGCACATGATTATATTCAAACTGATGTTTAAATATAATTGATTAAAGTCAAAAAGTAAGATGAGATAAAATGATTAAGTTGTTTGGACAGACTCACATTCAATCCTAAGCTTAAACGAGTAGTTCGTAAATGAAGGGGTCGTATCACCATTGAGATATATACTAAACTAGTACAACACCCGTGTATTACACGGGTGCTTGTTAATTTTTTTTTTAAGTTTAAAATTAATGAGAAAAAAATGATTGAAAATTTAAATAATTTTTACAAAATATATATATTATTATATATTTTAGTATGACTCTTGTTACTTGTGGGACTTACATGTGTCATATTGTGATAATGTTTCTAATTTATAATATATAACTACATTAAACATAAATATATTAGTTGGAAAATATTTTTTTTAATTAATTTTAGTAAATAATTTTATTATTATTATAAACATAAATATGATTTATTTATTTTATATATACAAAATGGATGTCAAATCGACACTCATCAAAAGACGATTAATTTGATATATTATATATGTAAAACCGATAAGAAATACAAAAGTTATTAACTTTTAAAATACTTTTACAATTCAATGGTTATAATAGGCAATGGTAATAAAAAACAATTAATACATTTAAAATGATCATAAATAAATCAATATATTTATGGTAATCCAAACCTAATTTTTTTAGATTAAAATTAAATTAAAATCTATCCAAACTAAACAATGAAGCATGAAATTTTGACACATAGGATTCCGAAGCATGCAGGGCCTGCCACTTAGGCTCAGCGCATTCGGGAATTATATATAGGGGTGATGTTTGTTTACTTTGTCCATGTAAACGTATTTAATATTTTGAGTTCGGCATTCGGCGTAACCTAGGAGTTTGCTAAGGATCACAAATCAGCTCTATGTCAATATATGAAGGTCTAGAGGGTCGCACAATATGCAATCACTTTTTCGACTAAGAGTGAATCGAGAGTGTTAAATATTCAATTAAATTGAAATATTTACTTATTAATAATAAGATCATTTTCTATGTGATAGAAAATATTTAATTAAGTTAAATTAGATTTATATTTAATTATATTATTAATTGGTTTAGGTCCGTTTACTTATTGGGCTATAGGGTTTCCTAAAGCCCATATAATTATGTTTGACCTAACTATAAATACCTCGTTACCTCTTCAAAGTCTTTTATCGATGAATAAGAGAAAAACTTTGAGAGATCTAAAAAATCTTAGAGATTGAGAGACCAAGATCTCAAGAAAAACACTATCCGAATTTTTGGTTGAGGATTTCTAGCTTCTTCACCGGGAGAGATTCATTGACGTTAGATCGTGCACCGTAAAACTGGATTGCGTGAATACCATAGTCGAGGGCAGAGACGAACAACTGTAAGCTTTCGTTATCCACGCGACTTAGAGTCATATCGAATAGTTATAGTTGGATTTTCGTTGTTGGTAATAAAAATTTACAATTTCGCTTGCACGTGCGCTAGAATCGTATGTCTAAAATCTAACAGCGACCATGTCTAACCATACATATACGACCACCGATCTCCAATCTTATTAATTGGTACAACACAATATTTTAAGTAGTGTTTTTAAACCTAGATAACAATTAGGGTTAGATGGAGAGGGCCACCCTTGCAAAAATTATCATCCGAAATTTATTTTCAAATCAAGAAATCTAACCTAATTCTATACACCCATATTACGAAATTACTTGCTTTTGATTTCCTACCAATATAATTAGCATAATCTCGTTTTCTTGGAAAAAAAAAAAAAAATTAAATTACAGTTAGTAAAAAAATTCAAAACACAATCACTGTTGTAAATAGGCACCTGCAAAATCACGCTGTACCCTGAAAATTTTTTCTGTTGTCCATTGTCAGGCGCCGAAGAACAGGTAAAGCTTTCATCCAACAAATCCAGGTTAAGGGGTTCATATATGATATGCGTATGTGTATGTGTATGTGTATGTGTATGTGTATGTGCTGCATGTATTGCTTTTAGTTCAGTTAGCTTTAATCAGTTTTTTCAAGATTATTCATTTTTTTCTTGTCTTTGTTCATTTGTTTCCCGATTGAAGAGAAAAAATCTGAGAACTTTGGAAGTTTCTTGAAAAGGGGTGTTAAACAGGGGTTAATGGAAAAATGGGCTGAGCTGATTGACAACGATGGTGGTGGTGGTGGTGGAGGTGGTGAAGGGGGAAATTCTCAGGGGAACATTTGGTTCGATTTTGATCTCGATTTCCCGAACGAAAAATACCGTATTGATCCGTGTAAAGAGAGGTTGAGGGGTTTGTTCGATCAATTGCTCGTTGCCTTTTTGAATGAAAAATCCGCGAGCGATTGCGTTAGGCCTATCCCGGCTTTGTGCAGGGATGGCCAGCCGGTCGACTTGCTTAAACTCTTTTGGGTGGTGAGGAAAATCGGCGGGCATGAAGAGGTGTCGAGAAATAATTTGTGGGGTTTCGTATCGAAAGAATGTGGATTAGGTATTGGGGTGGTTCAAATTCAATCCGTTAAGTTGATTCACGATAAGTATTTGAACGAGCTGGATCAATGGCTACATAGAGTTGTTAGCAAGGGAGATGTGGAGAGTGAAAATGGTGGAGTTGTTAAAAAATTGGATTTGTTGTCCCGTGAGTTGGAAGCTAGCTTTGGGAATTTGTTGGACAACAGGCAGAAAGAGGAAAGTACTAAGTTTTTTCAAGACGTTAATGAAAACGAGACGCTTATCTCTACAAATGGAAGAATTAGTGAAATATTATGCAGTGGTAATAATGGTCGCTCTACTGAACATGTCGTTCATGAATTACAAGATGTGAAAATCGATATAGACAAAGGCATTAACGGTTTTGATTCACCAGCTAAGAGGGTGGTGGTAAAGAAGTCTGTAACAAAGAGGGTGGTAAAAAAATCCTCAGACAACACTGTGAATGGAGCAAAAGCAAATGGCTTTTCTAAAGTACAAGATAATGATTGCAGTGGGAGGTCTTGCAATGAAGATGAAGCTAACTTCAAGAAAAAAGTTTTTAATAAAGTTATTAACAAGGTTCTTAATAGTGAAAGGACTATTTCTGATGTAACTATTAAGAACAACAGTGATGTTCGACTTTCAGCCAAGAAAGTTGTTGGCGGTGTTCCTAGTAAAGCACGCGATCTTTCAGAGAAGATTATTGATTATAAAGAGAAGGTCGAAGTTGAACGGGACATTGATAATGTGATTCCATCCAGAAGTGATAATGGGAATTCGTCGAATTTTCGGAAGAGGAAACGAGAGCCTCGGCCGTTTTTAGAAATGCTAAACTGGCTGACCCGTGTTGCGAAAAGTCCGCATGATTCTCCAATGGGGAACATTCCAGAACGTTCCAAGTGTATTGACTGTGGGAATGAGGAGTTATGGGTTCAAGCTGTGTCAGCTCGGGAAGCTTTGCTGATAAAAAGGCATGCTGATACGAATGCAGATGATAGTCTTGTAAAGGTAAAGCCTTATGTCTTCAATCATATGTGATACTATCGAGGAAGTTGATTTCGTTATATGTGCTTATATTACATTTTTTTTCTCTATCTTCTTTTTCGTAACAGGAATATGGTTTAAAGAAAGCTATATATTTGTGTGGTGTGGTTTTAGACGATTTTCATTTGGTCACTCTTCTATTATAGGCTAAGCATGTTTGGCCAGTATTTAAGATGTGTTCTTGAGTGGCGAAATCTAGGCTGAGACTGGTAGATGGAAAATAGAAATTTTGATTCTCTATTAGATCTTAATATAGATTTTGAATCTCATGACTTGAAGTTGAAGCTCAGTGAATCCTAGCCCAAACATCCTGTAAAGTAACAGATGCCAGAGTTCTTTTATCAGCTTTCCTTTAAGATTCAAGTTATCTTGAAAGATTATCATTCTTAAAAAAGTCAGGTTAATGTGATTTATAGTTAGTATTCGGAGATCTCTGTACATATTAAACTATATATCATATGTGTTTTTCTGAAATTTTATGCAAACCATTGAAACTTAATTTTTTAGAAAACAAGGATAATGAGATGATGTCATTTCAAATAGAAAAAAAAAAAGAGGACAAATAATAAAGTTTCACAACGAGACTGAGAATGAACCGTGTGAAAACGATATATGATTGCTCCTTGTCTCTAATGTCTTGCATATGATGAAATGTGCTTTGGTATTGCCAAAGCAGTTAGAGTAGTAGATGTAACTGAAACATTTTCTTGGCCAGCAGACTTCTTGATATTTATATTTTAAATTTGAATAAAAAGTTATTTTGTTGAACATAATGAGAAGGGTCTGCTTCAACGCACGAGTTTCCATTGGTATCGTGAATTACTAAGATCACCTAATGAATCCGGTTGAGATCAACTCTTGTCATTCTTTTGACTACAAATTTCTAACAAATTAGTTTGATTAATTTTTTAATGTTCTGTTATCTCTTTAATCCAAGAAAGGATGCCTAGTGGCTTGCCGTCGGTCCTTTTATCATTCATGTCCGTTGAACATGAATGCATTCTTGTTTTAGAAGTTTAATGTATAAATTCCGTGTATTAACATATCGGGAGCGCTATATAGGTCCTATTTGATATCAATTCTTTTGTAATCACTTAATTAGATGCATATCAATTTTATATGTTTTTTAATGTTTGGTTCTTTTTTTTTTTTTT